CCCCCCTCAGGGGCGTGGCCTAACCCCCCCTAATTACCATAAACCCCGCCCACACCACATATAAATCACCACGACCACGCCCGGACGCGCATAAAATCAGCATAAATCAGCATAAATTAGCATAAATTACCCCTTGGGGTGCCCGCTGTACTTGTCGCAGAGGATGGTGACGCGGTTGACGGAGCCGCAGCCGTGGAAATGCGCCTCCAGCTCCTCGGCCGTGGCGCCGTAATCCACCTGGGGAGAGATTCCGGAACGTTCCTGGGGATCCTGGGGATTTTTTTGGGGGATTTTTTGGGATTTTTTTTGGGGGTTTTTTGGGGTTTTTTTATTTTTCTGTTGGCTTACGTTGCCGACGTAGATGGAGCGAGCGTCGGCCTCCATCTTCTCCTCCAGGGACATGATCACCGGGCCGGCTGGGAGAGGATAGGGGGGGGGGGAAAAAATGGGAATTGTTTGGGAATTCTGGGGGGTTTTTTGGGAATTTTTTGGGTTTTTTTTTTTTGAGGGTTTTTTGGGGGTTTTTTGGGGATTTTTTGGGGTTTTTTTGGGATTTTTTGGGGATTTTTTGGGGATTTTTTGGGGATTTTTAGGGTTTTTTTGGGGATTTTTTGGGATTTTTTTGGGGATTTTTTTTGGATTTTTTTAGGAATTTTTGGGGAGTTTTTGGGGTTTTTTTGGATTTTTTTGAGAATTTTTTTGGGATTTTTTTGGGATTTTTTTAGGAATTTTTTTAGGAATTTTTGGGGGATTTTTTGGGGTTTTTCTGGGAATTTTTTGGGGATTTTTTGGGAATTTTTTAGGAATTTTTAGGGATTTTTTTGGGGATTTTTTGGGGTTTTTTTTATTTTTTTGAGAAGTTTTCGGGATTTTTTGGGGGATTTTTTTGGGAATTTTTTGGGATTTTTTGATATTTTTTTAGGAATTTTTTGGGGATTTTTTTGGGAATTTTTTAGGAATTTTTGGGGATTTTTTTGGGGATTTTTTGGGGTTTTTTTGGATTTTTTTGAGAATTTTTTGGGATTTTTTTGGGATTTTTGGGGGATTTTTTGGGGTTTTTTGGGAATTTTTCGGGGATTTTTTTGGATTTTTTTGGATTTTTTGGGATTTTTTTGAGAATTTTTGGGGGATTTTTTGGGGTTTTTTTGGGATTTTTTTGGGAATTTTTTTTTTTTTTTAATTTTTAGGGGTTTCTGGGGATTTCTGGGAATTTTGGGGGATTTTTGGGTATTTTGGGGGATTTTTAGGGGGGAATTTTGAGGAATTTTTGGGGATTTTTGAGAATTTTTTTTTAAGTTTTGGGGGGATTTTTTGGGATTTTTGGAAAATTTTTTGGGATTTTTTTTTTGGGATTTTTGGGAAAATTTTGGGGAATTTATGGGGATTTTTTTTTTTTTAATTTTTGGGGATTTTCGGGGATTTCTGGGAAGTTTCCGGAGATTTTGGAGGATTTTTGGGGATTTTTCGGGAATTTTTTTGGGATTTCTGGGAATTTCGGGGGATTTTGGAGAATTTTTGAGATTTGGGAACATTTTCCCAATTTTTCCCCGTTTTAGTTCCATTTTTGGCCTCATTTTCCCCAATTTTTCACCGTTTTAGGACCATTTTTCCCCATTCTGAAACCAATTTTCCCATTTTTGGTGCATTTTCCCCCATCTTTGTTGAATTTTCCCGATTTTTCCCCATTTTAGTCCCACTTTTCCTATTTTATGTTCATTTTCCCCATTTCAGTTCCATTTTCCCCCATTTTAAGTCAATTTTCCCCATTTTAATTCCCTTTTTCCCCATTTTAAATCCATTTTTCCCATTTTAATTCCCTTTTTCCCCATTTTAAATCCATTTTCCCCCATTTTAATTCCATTTTTCCCCATTTTATTTCCATTCTTCCCATTTCAATTCCATTTCAACCATTTTTGTGCCATTTCCCCCCGTTTTTGGTCAATTTTTTTTCCCATTTTCCCCATTTTATTTCCATTTTTCCCCATTTTCAGTCAACTTTTTCCCCCCAGGGCTTTTTGGGCCATTTTTGGGCTGATTTTGTGCTATTTTTGGGCTGATTTTGAGCTGTTTTTGGGCTGATTTTGTGCTATTTTTGGTGCCATTTTTGGGCTGATTTTGAGCTGTTTTTGGGCTGATTTTGGGCTATTTTTGGTGCCATTTTTGAGCTGATTTTGGGCCGTTTTTGGTGCCATTTTTGGGCTGAATTTGGGCCGTTTTGGGTCCGTTTTCCCCTCTCACCGTTGCCCGGAGGGGGGCTCATGTTCATCTGTTTCTCCACCTCGTTCTGCAGCTCTTTCAGCTTTTCTGCCTCCTCCTCCATCTCCCTCACCCGGGCCTTGATCGCCTCCAGCTCCTGCAAAATTCACAAAAAATCGCTTTTTTTTTATCCCCAAAATCCACCTGGAAAACAAAAATCCCCAAATTTTCCCTTTTAGCACTCAAAATCTGCTTTTTTCCACAAAAAAATCTCATTTTTATCACTCAAATTATGCTTTTTTCCATCAAAATCTCGCTTTCATCTCTCAAAACCTGCTTTTTTTCCCCCCAGAATCTCATTTTTATCAAAATCTGTTTCCCATCAAAATCTCGCTTTTATTCCTCGATTTCCCCTTTTTCCCTAAAATTCCTGTTTTTGTCCTTCAAACTCCCACTTTTATTGCTCAAGTTCTATTTTTTTTCCCTCAAAATATGACTTTCATCCTTCAAATCCCCATTTTCCCCCGAAATTCCTGGTTTTATCCCCCAAATTCCCATTTTTACTGCTCAAATTCCCACTTTTAGCCCTCAAATCCCCAATTTTTCCCCTCAAATCCCCAATTTTCCCCCTCAAATCCCAACTTTTGTCTTCAAATCCCAACTTTTCGCCTCAAATCCCCATTTTTCCCCTCAAACCCCCGATTTTTCCCCTCAAATCCCAATTTTTCTCCTCAAATCCCAATTTTTCCCTCAAATTCCCATTTTTTCCCCCTCAAACTCCCATTCTTCCCCTCAAGTCCCAACTTTTCCCCTCAAATCCCCAATTTTCCCCCCTCAAATCCCCACTTTTGTTTTCAAATCCCACTTTTCCCCTCAAATCCCCAATTTCCCCCTCAAATTCCCATTTTTCCCCTCAAACCCTCCTTTATCCCCTCAAATCCCCAATTTCCCCCCTCTAATCCTCCTTTACCCCTCAAATCGCCACTTTTTCCCTCAAACCTTCCTTTATTCCCAATAATTCCCATTTTTCCCCTCAAATTCCCAACTTTTCCCCTCCAATCCCCATTTCCCCCCCTCTAATCCTCCTTTACCCCTCATATCCCAATTTTTTCCCCCTCAAAACCTCCTTTATCCCCCTCAAACCCTCTTTTTTCCCCTCCAATCCCCATTTTCCCCCTCAAATCCCAACTTTTGTCCTCAAATCCCAACTTTTCCCCTCAAATTCCCAATTTTTTCCCTCAAACTCCTTTCCCCTCTTTCTTCCCCCCCGCCGC